GCTGTAATCTCTATTCTAGTTCTTTCTTTTCCTCCAACAACTGCTGTAATCTCTATTCTAGTTTCTTTCTTTTCCTCCAACAACTGCTGTAATCTCTCTTCTTGTTTATTTTCTTTTCCTCCAGCAACTGCTGTAATTTCTCTTCTTGTTTCTTTCTTTTTCCTCCAACAACTGCTGTAATTTCTCTTCTTTTTTATTTCTTTTTCCTCCAACAACTGCTGTAATTTCTCTTCCTGTTTCTTTTCTCGTTCTTCTTGTTTCTTTTGCTGTTCTTGTATTGCTGCCATCAATACTGCTAAGCTGTAGTTTGGTTTGCCTCTTCTCGTTTCCATCTTCTTTTTTATTTGTCCCACTCTCTGACACCAATTTGTAACGTCTCTGGTCGTTTGTTAATTATTCGTAAAAATTATTTCCGAAGCACTTGAGTGATAGAAGTCCTTTCTAAAATAAAACTAGTTTATTCTTTCTCCATTCCAATTTACAATACATTTAATTTCCACAGTCACATTAACTTAAACTTACGCTATAATTCACAACGAACGATTCACGCACTTTACCGCGCTTGACTCAATTGTCCGTATCTATCTCTGCCTGTCTGCAATTCAATTATTGCCGTCATTTTATTTACCGGCTTATATATACGAAATAGAGGGCTTCTGCAGAACACTTGAGGCTTCACGAACAGACATGATCTTTCTAGAATCACATGACGTGTTACTAGCGTCACGTAACTTCCGCTGTCGTAACAATCTTATAACCCAAATCATAACGTCCCAATAGAAACTGTTGAAGTAGAGCTGATTTATCTATGGCTCTAAAGTAAGGGGAAGATTTCATAAATCCACATAGCTTATGTGGCCTATACAGTTAAAATGTTCTATTCCTCTGTTAGCTGATGTGGCCTATACAGTTAAAATGTTTTCATACCCCTGTTAGCTAATGTGACCTATACAGTTAAAATATTTTATGCCACTGTTTGCTAATGTGGCCTATACAGTTAAAATGTTTTATGCCACTGTTAGCTAATGTGGCCTATACAATTAAAATGATTTTATGCCACTGTTAGCTAATGTGGCCTATACAGTTAAAATGTTTTATGCCACTGTTAGCTGATATGGCCTATACAATTACAATGGTTTTATGCCCCTGTTTGTTGATGTGGCCCATACAATTACAATGGTTTTATGCCCCTGTTAGCTGATGTGGCCTATACAGTTACAATGATTTTTTTGCTCCTGTTAGCTGATGTGGACTATAGAGTTAAGGTGGTTTTCTGCCCCTGTAAACTAATGTAGCCTATACAGTTCAGGTGGTTTCTGCTTCTGTAAACTAATGTGGCCTACATAGCTAAAGTGGTTTTCTGCTCCTGTAAACTAATGTGGCTTATATAGCTGAGGTTGTTTTCTGCTTCTTTAAACTAATGTGGCCTACATAGGTAAGGTGGTTTTCTCCCCGCCTGTAAACTAATTTGGCCTATATAACTAAAGTGGTTTTTCTGCTCCAGTAAACTAATGTGGTCTATACAGTTAAGGGGGTTTTCTGCTCCTGTAAACTAATGTGGCCTATACAGCTAAGGTGGTTTTATACTCCTGTAAACTAATGTGACCTATATAGTTAAGCAAGAGAAAGCTTGTAAGCTTCAGCGCTTGCGTGTAAAATATTATGTGTATCAAATTCAGGATGTTTTTATTACAGTTCTTGTGGTCAACAAACAGTTCGGACTTCAGTTTAGCAGCCTTCACGGGAAGAAGTGCAACTGTGACAAGTGACCAACTGACCAGTGGTAGACCATTCGTTGTCTCTGTAACTGGTGAGTATAAATTTTTTCCTGATAAAAAGTATGTTAACTACATAATCAGAACTGAAATTCATATCGTTTTGTATCAAACCCGTACAGCAGAAAAATAAATATTAGAATACAGTGCATTATCAATTTGTGAATCCTTGTAGTTCAAGGTGTTGTTGGGCGTAATCCCAATAATATCTCACGAGATACGGCCAACTTAGGTGATAGTTGTAAAATTTCTTTACATGTGAAACCCCTTAAAAGAAAATTATGAATGTCACCTTAAAATCGGAAATGACACACAATTATGGAGAAATCTGAAGTTTAGCGACTGATATATTAATGGATTTTGCCCAATTCTTTTTGAGGGCTATTTGCGCTAGTTGTCCCTAGAGGGAAGTCAACTAGTAAATACCTTCCACCACGAGCTCTTGGGCTACTTTTTACAAAAGAAAAGTGGAATTAATCGTCACATTATGAAATCCCCACAGCTCAAAGGGCGAGCATGTTCGGTCACAGGATTCGAACCCGAGACCTGAAGATTACAACGAGTGCCCTAACCACCAGTCCATGCCAGACTCCAATATGCTAATACAAAAGCATACATGAAGATTTTTAAATACTTTGCATAAAAGAGTGGAAGAAAAGTAAGTTGATAATTAGCAGCATTGTTGTTTGGAAAATATGGTCATATTTATGTAATTCTTAATTTATGATATGAGTCTTGTTCTATATACAGACATAAATAAATCTGGGTAAGTCTGTGTTATCTTACAACATTGAAGGTAATAAGTACCATTAATATTGTTACGACAGCGGAACTCACGTGACACTGCTGGCGCCTGCATGATGAGTTTCTCGAATGATCACTGAAGTCCGAGTGTGATCGAGATGCCCTCTTCGTTAGTATATAAGTCTGGCAGATAAAGCCAGCAGATGTGAATGAAGAGAGAGCAGTAGTTACTTTGAGTTCCGTGTACTTCATGATTCTGTTTGTTTCGAGCTAGTGAGCTGTAAAGTGTGTGTTTTGCATTCGTCGAGAGCGACGTTATCGAGATTGTGAGTCACTGTGATTTATAGCGTGTATTGTAAAAGTTGTTAAGTTTAAAGTGACGAAAAACATACTGATTGTAGAACTTCTGTGTACTAAAAGTTTGTATCGGGAAGAATAAACTGGTTTAATTAAGAAAGGACTTGTATCGCTGAAGATCCTCGAAAAGAATTTGTACCGGAAACAAACAAACAAGCAGATGCGTAACAATATAACCTGCTGGAGGCTGACTTTGAAAACTATGGAAAACCACTTAAGACTTACTTTATAAATAATAAATATTAAATCAGTTTTAGTTTGATAATGAAAAACGAGAAATATCCAAGAAAAAAATTTGATTTGGATCAGAAGAGACACATTAAGGTGAAAACGATCAGAAATATTTAGTTTTTTAATCATAATATTAGTTATATACGTCAACTTGCACGTTCATTCGTACTCCCGGCTAATGTAGGATTAAATTTGCTACATGTCTTCTGGAGTCGGAGTGTCAGAAACTCCACATGATCTCGGACGTTCTATCGTTCAGTTCTGTCCCGTTCTTCGAGAAGTAAAGTATGTAAGTTGTTCACAGAAAAATATAAATATTAAAAAACCTCATTACAAAAAATATTTAATTGGATTGAGATTCGATGGTTGTGCTTAAACTAATGAAGATGACTTAAGTAATTGTGGTGCCGTTCGAAGTAATTTCAGACAATAAGACTTTGGAGATTTTTTAATTCTCATCCTGGAAGAGCCACAATGGCCACATTCAGCTATACTCCGGATGTTATTGATTTTATATAAAGCATTATAAGACCCAACTATTGCCATGAAAATGTTTCTCACACCATCACACCAACTCTAGCATTTTAAACTGAAGCTTCAAGTAAATCATTTAATGTACTGTCCACATTTTTACTCTACCATCACTACAGAAAAGGATTGATACGAATCACCAGATTACATCACATGCTTTTAGTAATATATTGTCCACATTTTTAATCTATCATCAGTACAGAAAAGGATTGATACGAATCCTCAGATTACATCACATGCTTCTAGTAATATATTGTTCCTAATTTTTACTCTATCATCAGTACAGAAAAGGATTGACACGAATCATCAGATTACATCACATGCTTCTTGTAATATATTGTCCACATTTTGCACTATTAAAGGTCAGTACCTATCTGTTTGTATACGAAATAAGAATTGTCAGCTTTGTTTTGGCCACCATATGACCAATTTTGCCATATACTTTACATGCAGTTGGAGATAATCAGTTTCTGATAACTGTTAAAATAATACTTCAACCGCAACTTAATCTGACGTTTTTTCGTATTGTAATTTTCCTAATTGTATTTTTCCTCTGTCTGTCACCATCTGCCCATAGTTTTTTCCAATAGGAAACCATGTTCATTTTCGTTTGCTACTCTTGATATACCCAGTAAATCACCAGTAAGTTTACGAACTTACAACGCTAAAATCCGAGATTCGAGTACCGGTTTTGGACAAAGCGCAGATAGCCTATTGTGTAAATTTACGCAAAAACAAATAGAACAGTCGTTTTAAAAACAATATTTGATAACTACAGTCTGACGTGATGAGACTATAACTCCATACTTATAAAGCTCAACCAGCTAATTGATGCATCATATCAATAGCCTCTTTTGTATATGAAAATCAAAGATGTGTTTAAAATATTAAACTATACGAAGAGCCCTCCTCCCCCCCCAAAAAAAGTGGACAGTTAGTGCATCTCATTAAGCATGATTAATATATCTTAATAGTCAGTGAAGGTGCTTATAAAATATCTTATTTTTAATAGCATCACCTGTAACAGTTTTAAGAGCATTGAGAAGTTTAATATTTACAGAACAGAACTGTCAACATGAAACTTTGTGACGGTTTATTTATATATCGTGTGACACGAGCGAGGACTCGTTGAATGAAAAACTGTTATGGTTCGTTAAAAAATGTACAAATAAAGGACGAAACGCATTAATGACATAATGGAACTTGTAATAACAAGAATTTACTTAGAATGATGGTATGTGATAAGTGAAAGGCTAGTAATCAGTTCTGTCTGTGTTTTATCTTCCATAACTGTGATATAATTGATTTATAATAAACTAAAGCTCTACTATTTATAATACTTTCTTTTCAGTTTCTGTAAATGGCAGTGACATCTTGCGGGGAGAAGTCAATCGTTTATTCGTAATTAAGAAAACGTCTTTAAGACCTTGGGTTGACCCTGAAACCCTGGTGGTTGGAAACGAAACTAGTTACTTCTTGTTAAAAGGCACTCCTTACTTGTACACCAATCTCAACACACTTGCCATGGAAAATATTCTTCTTGATTGGTCATGTCACTACCAGATGGCAAATACTTCTTGTTTAAACGAGAACGTAACAACCAATGAACAAATGCTGACTATACATGCTGGGATGTTGAAACCAAACAGGTTGGTCGTGTCACTTCCAGCGAAATGTATATACATTCTTTAAACATTTCAAATAAACGTTCATAAATAACGCCACCTATCGACAACCACATGAAGCTTAGCAATTTTGTTGAGGTTGAGGATGCATTTGAAGATTCAAAAAGAGGAAATTAAAATATACCCATATATTTAGGTTGAACTTAATGATACAATACTAAGATTGGAAATGTATGGAATAATTAGTTTTATGTACGTTTCCTTACAGATGAAAAGACTTAAAGATTATTACGAACATAACTTTTGGAGGATTTCACTGAAATACATTTAACCATTCTCAGAACAACTTTAAGAGTTTATCTGATATTCCCACTATAGTCATAGTATCAGTATCTAAACCCACATAGATATCCTATAATACTATATCGTTTATAGATATCCTATAATAAGATATCGTTCATAGATATTCTATAACATTGTATCCTTCATAACACTATATCGTTCATAGATATCCTATAACACTACATCATTCATAGATATCCTATAACACTAAATCATTCATATGTATAATATAATAACATATCTTCATTGATATCCTATAACACTATATCGTTCATAGATATCCTATAACACTACATCGTTCATAGATATCCTATAAAACTATATCGTTCATAGACACCCTATAATACTATATCGTTCATAGATGTCCTATAATGCTATATCGTTCATAGATATCCTATAACACTATATCGTTCATAGATATACTATAACACTATATCGTTCATAGATATCCTATCATATTATATCGTTCATAGATATATTATAACACTATTTCGTTCATATATGTCCTATAATGCTATATCGTTCATAAATATCCTATAACACTATATCGTTCATAGATATCCTATAACACTATATCGTTCATTGAGGTCCTATAACACTATATCGTTCATAGATATCCTATCATGCTATATCGTTCATAGATATTCTATAATACTATGTCGTTCACAGATATCCTATCATACGATATCATTCATAGATATGCTATAATACTATATTGTTCATACATGTCCTATAATAAAATATCGTTCATAGATATTATATAACATTATATCCTTCATAGATATCCTATAACAATGTATCGTTCATAGATATCCCATCATACTATATCGTTCATATTTATGCTATAACACAATATCGTTCATAGATATCCTATAACACTATATCGTTCATAGATATCCTATAATACTATATCTTTCATAGATAGCCTAAAATACTATATCGTTCACAGATATTCTATAACACTATATCGTTCATATATATCCTATAATAAGATATCTTCAGATATTCTATAACTATATCCTTCATAGATATCCTGTAACACTATATGGTTCATAGATATCCTATCATACTATATCGTTCATATATATATGATATAACACTATATCGTTCATAGATATCCTAAAATACTATATCGTTCACAGATGTTCTATAACACTATATCGTTTTTATATATCATATAAAACGATATTGTTCACAGATATTCTATGACACTATGTCGTTTTTATATATCCTATAATACGATATCGTTCAAAACTTTCCTAATATACTATATAGTTCATAGATATCCTATAACACTATATCGTTCATACATATCCCATCATACTATATCGTTCATTGATATCCTATCATGCTATATCGTTCATAGATATCCTATAACAGTATGTCGTTCATAGATATCCTATAACAATGTGTCGTTCATAGATATCCTATCATACTATATCATTCATAGATATCATATAACACTATATCATACATACATATCCTATAATAAGATATCGTAAAGATATTCTATAACATTGTATCCTTCATAGATATCCTATAATACTATATCGTTCATAGATATAATATAATACTAAATCATTCATAGATATCCTAAAATAAGATATCCTTCACAGATGTCCTATAATACGACATCCTTCATAGATATCCTATAATAAGATATCGTTCATAAATATGCTATAACCCTATATCGTTCATAGATATCCTATATTAAGATATCGTTCATAGATATCCTATAATAAGATATCGTTCATAGATATCCTATAACACTACGTCGTTCATAAATATCCTATCATACTATATCATTCATAGATATCCTATAACACTATATCGTTCATATATATCCTATAATAAGATATCTTTCAGATATTCTATAACATTGTATCCTTCATAGATATCCTATAACACTATATCGTTCATAGATATAATATAATACTATATCATTCATAGATATCCTAAAATAAGATATCCTATAATAAGATATCGTTCATAGATATCCTATAATAAGATATCGTTCATAGATATCCTGTAACACTATATGGTTCATAGATATCCTATCATACTATATCGTTCATATATATATATGATATAACACTATATAGTTCATAGATATCCTATAACACTAGGTCGTTCATAGATATGCTATCATACTATATCATTCATAGAATGCTATAACACTATATCGTTCATAGATATTCTTTAACATTTTATCCTTTATAGATATCTTATAATACCATATCGTTCATTGATGTCCTACACCACTATATCGTTCATAAATATCCTATCATGCTATATCGTTCGTAGTTATCCTATAACACTATATCGTTCATAGATATCCTATCATACTTTATCGTTCATACATATGCTATAACACTATATCGTTCATAGATAACCAATAATACTATATCGTTCATAGATATTTTATATTACTATTACGTTCATAGATATCCCATAACACTATATCATTCATAGATATTCTATAATACTATATCGTTCATAAATTTTCCTATAACGCTACATCGTTCATAGATATCCTATAACACTATATGACACGTATGTAAGTAAATGTATTCTCACAAATCTGTGTTGACATGTATGTAAATAAATGTACTCTAACAAATCTATGTATTCTGTGTTGAGATGTATGTAAGTAAATGTACTCTAACAAATCCCTGTAGCCTGTTTTGACATGTATGTAAGTAAATGTATTCTAACAAATCTTTGTATTCTGTGTTGACATGTATGTAAGTTAATGTAGTCTAACAAATTCCTGTAGCCTGTGTTGACATGTATGTAAGCATATGTACTCTAACAAATCCCTGTAGCCTGTTTTGACATTTATGTAAGTAAATTTTTTCTAACAAATCATTGTAGCCTGGATTGACATGTATGTAAGTAAATGTATTATAAGAAATCCCTAAAGCCTGTGTTGACATTTATGTAAGTAAATGTATTTTAACAAATCCCTATAGCCTGTTTTGACATGTATATAAGTAAATTTATTCTTACAAATCATTGTAGCCTGGATTGACATGTATGTAAGTAAATGTATTATAAGAAATCCCTAAAGCCTGTGTTGACATTTATGTAAGTAAATGTATTTTAACAAATCCCTATAGCCTGTTTTGACATGTATATAAGTAAATGTACTCTAACAAATCCTTGTAGCCTGTTTTGATATGAATGTAAGTATATGTATTATAACAAATTCCTGTAGCCTGTGTTGACATGTATGTAAGTAAATTTATCTAACAAATCCCTGTATCCTGTTTTGACATGTATGTAAGTAAATGTACTCTAACAAATTCCTGTAGCCTGTTTAGAAATGTATGTAAGTAAATTTATTCTAACAAATCCCTGTAGTCTGTGTTGACACGTAAGTAAGTAAATGTATTCTAACAAATCCCTATAGCCTGTGTTGCCATGTATGTAAGTAAATGTATTCTAACAAATCCCTGTAGCCTGTTTTGAGATGTATGTAAGTAAACGTGCTCTAACAAATCCTTGTAGCCTGTGTTCACACATTAGTAAGTAAATGTATTCTTACAAATCCCTATAGCCTGTGTTGACATGTATGTAAGTAAATGCATTCTAACAAATCCCTGTAGCCTGTGTTGACATGTATGTAAGTAAATGTACTCTAACAAATCCCTGTAGCCTGTTTTGACATGTATGTAAATAAATGTATTCTAACAAATCCCAGTAGTCTGTTTAGAGATGTATGTAAGTAAATGTATTCTAACAAATCCCTATAGCCTGTTTTGACATGTATGTAAGTATATTTATTCTAACAAATCATTGTAGCCTGGATTGACATGTATGTAAGTAAATGTATTCTAACAAATCCCTGTAGCCTGTGTTGACATGTATGTGAGTAAATGTATTCTAACAAATCCCTATAGCCTGTGTTGACATGTATGTAAGTAAATTTATCTAACAAATCCCTGTATCCTGTGTTGACATGTATGTAAGTGAATGTATTCTAACAAATCCCTCTAGTCTCTGTTGACATGTATGTAAGTAAATGCATTCTAACAAATCTCTGTAGTCTCTGTTGACATGTATGTAAGTAAATGTATTCTAACAAATCCCTATAACCTGTGTTAACATGTATGTAAGTAAGTGTATTCTAACAAATTTCTCTAGTCTCTGTTGACATGTATGTAAGTAAATGTATTCTAACAAGTCTCTGTAGTCTCTGTTGACATGTATGTAAGTAAATGTATTCTAACAAATCCCTATAGCCTGTGTTGACATATATATGTAAGTAAATGTATTCGAACAAATCCCTCTAGTCTCTGTTGACATGTATGTAATTAAATGCATTCTAACACATCCCTCTCGTCTCTGTTGACATGTATGTAAGTAAATGTATTCTAAACATTTGTGTTTCAATATTGAAAAAAATTTGAATTAATAGATCTTTAAGTGTGAAACTTTTTTTTAGTAAGTATATGAATTACATGATTCTGATCCTGTAACATATAACTGTACACCAATTGTATAACTGTACATCAATACGTGCAAATAAATATATGTTAAAATGTATTTGTTATTTTAGGAGTATAAAAATAACAGTATATTTTTTGAATCATTGAATATTTAATTTATTCAGAATATTACTTATAACAGCACAGGCTTAAAACTTAGGTCAAGACATACGAAACGTAATTACAAATATCAACAGAAAACTTTAAGTTGAAAGTAAAACTAGACAAGTTATAGGACGATATAATTTCATTGATATAAATTGAAAGGCTAAATAAATTAACTTATAATTCTACTATTTAAGATTTACGTAATTGAATATATTTAATTTGAATCTCTAAACTGTGTACATTACATTCCAGTCTTGAGATCTTCTCAATATGGTAACGGTGATTTTGACGTGTATTAAACAGATACAACATAACATTCAAAGCCACCAGAAATACGTTGGGAGCTGAGAAACAGATGAATGTAATAGTCCTACCAGGAAACGTACCTGTCGTGTACGTTAAGAGAAGTTACGTCGGGCCTGTTAGTCCAACAGACAGATATGTAGTAAATGCCTACGTCACTAGTGACGTGGACGTGAGAGTGTGGTGGGAATGTGTAGTTGAAAAAGGTAAGTTCTTCTGAAATGTTCCAATAAACCTTCATGAGTAGATCTGTTTTATATGTCTTATCATGGTCTGTTGATTTAAAATGTCACCTCGAGTAACACAGAACTTTTAATAACAATAGAATACTTAATACTGAAGAATATAGTAACAATGTTCTTTATATGTAAGTAAATGCATTCTAACAAATTCCTGTAGTCTTTGTTACTAACCTAGAAAAATTAAGTTAATACATAAATTTTATTTTATTTTTTGTCATGGTCACTACGTGTCATCAGCGTACAAAATAAGTTGGGTGTCTTATCGATCATTGTTCCCAATGTGAAATGTGTTATTAGCTTATGGCCTTTTTAAAAAAATATGTTTATTTAGACGATTTCAAGTCATTCCTCATATTCCAAAACTCATATTCTTAGCAGTCTGTTCTTTTCTTGTCTTTTTTATTTATTTGCTTAAAGTTATTTGTTTTAAAGAATGAACTTTTTAACTTAATACAATCTATATGGATCTAGGACTATGTTAAATCTCCTAAGCTGGCCTAACCTCGTAAGATATTATTGGGTTTACGACCGAAAGTACCGTTAACTGCGAGGATACACAACTGATGAAACTATGAATTCTAATCGTTATAAGTAAGAACGTAGAAATGTATATTAAATTATAATTAACATGTAAGATGTATTGTTTTGTAGAATATGCCACATCATCACTGGAAGGAATAACACCATCATCACATCCAAGAAATTACAGTGGTCCATTGATAAGACGTCCTTTCCCTTTGTTGATTCCGTCTGTTAATACTCATTGGCGCGGTCTTCTCGGTGGTGGCCGCTACAAATTTCGACTAGTAGCAGAACCAATCAACGGAGGAGAACGAGGATACGCTGATATAATTGTTGAAACTAATCAACCACCAATCACAGGAGGTTTGGAGGTACTTGGTTTTTTAATCAAGACTCGCACTATATAATATTCCAGGACACACTCATTCGTGCGTCATAAAAACATTTTATATTTTAACTTAAAATGAAACGTTGTTAACATGTTCAGAAGGTAAAATTCCTTAGTAGACTACTGCAGTTTGTTTTTCTCCGAGTAATAAATACAAGTTTATTTTAACTATTGCAAGCATCAGTGGTGTGAGGAAGTAATTAAGCTTGTTTAGTTTTTGTAAAGTATAATTGAAATAACGCTTTATCTCGGATGCTTATTTTTACATTTATCTTAATTATTCATTTAAGGATTTCAAATTAAACATGTGAAAGTGCTAATTCTAACTTCTATCTGCCACAGGTAACAGTCTAGTAGGCCTTTCGTTCAGTACCAGAACTCTTCAGTTGGGCTGGACTTATGGTAGCCATACCTTTCGTGGCAGGTGTTTTAATAACAATAGCAGGAATATATAGCAGGTGTTTTAATAAGAATACCAGGAATAGGTGGCAGGTGTTTTAATAACAATAGCAGGAATATGTAGCAGGTGTTTTAATAAGAATACCAGGAATAGGTGGCAGGTGTTTTAATAACAATAGCAGGAATATATATCAGGTGTTTTAATAAGAATACCAGGAATAGGTGGCAGGTGTTTTAATAACAATAGCAGGAATATGTAGCAGGTGTTTTAATAAGAATACGAGGAATAGGTAGCAGGTGTTTTAATATGGCTACCTGTAATAGTTAAGGACATGTTCTGTCTCCTTGCCCTCCATATGATAATTAATCAAACAACTGATGATCGAAGTAAAGATTGCAAAAATAGATAAAACAGGAAGAGTTACCGTAAAAGAGTACTACCCGACAACTTGAGGAACAACTAAGACCCGTACAGGTGTTGAAAAGAAGATAATTCAAAAAGCGGAGAAATCATAAAAAAGGCCCGTACAGGTGTAGAAAAATGAAGAAAGGGTACAATCTGACGGAAATTAAAATGCATGTAGAACGAATCTGTATTATAAATCAAATATGTAACGACTAATTAAGGCGACTGTGTGAAACAAAGCATCTGCAGGCAAGTGTAATTTTAATCCCCTTGCTAGCATTGTTTGAGATTTGCTGCCCAGTCAACATTTATCAACGGTGATATAATTATTACGTGCAAGCAACACACTGTCTGTTTTTTAAGTAATTACTATGAGTATGTTTAACAAAAGTAATTTTGATATTCTAGGTGACACCACCGTCTGGAATCGCATTTCAAACAACTTTTACATTAAAAGCTACCGGAAGATGGAGCGATGAGCCACAGGACTATCCATTGAAATACACTTTTTTCTATCAGGTGATGGATGAAGAATTCACAACTCCAATAAATGTCTTTATTGGAGAGCCACCTGGCGTGCAGAACGTTTTTCTTCCAGGAGGTATAAAAAAACAACAAATTATCAACGATGCTTACAGGATATGTTTTTGTATTCTAAGAACACTTTTTATATAAAATACAACAGTTGTAAACTGTTTCAACTAAGTAAAGTTTTTACAAATAGAAATGATAGTCAAATCTAATGAATGGAAGATGTGACAGATAACTGTTCAGCTTTTAAACACTTTTACACTCAAATTACACATTTAATGTCATACAAAAGGCCGCATTACTCACTCTTTTATTAAACTGACACAAAATATAGCATTAAGTTTTAAATTTTATGTCATCTAGGCCTGGCATGGACTAGTGGTTGAGGCGCACGACTCGCAATCCGAGGGTCGCGGATTCGAATCCCTGTTACCGAATTCTCTCTATCCTTCCAACTGTGGAGGCGTGTAATGTAACGGTTAATCCCACTATTCGTTGGTAAAAGAGTATTCAAAGAGTTTGCGGTGGGTGTTGTTGACTATCTGCCTTCCCTATATCTTATCACTGCTAAATTAGGGACGACTAGCGAAGATAGCGCTCGTGTAGCTTTGCGCGAAAATTCAAAAGATACCAAAGACCTAAAGCAATTACTAACAAATATTATATACTTTTTCTTAAATATTAAATTAATATCAATTGTCGTAGAGGGCGTATGAAAATAAAGTTTTTCCCTAGTCATATAATGTTTTTAAATAAATCTTTAGGAATTCTTATAAGTCATCTCTCTAACACTCTTTTAGAATAAATCACGCGAAAATGTAGAATAAATTATGATTATGTTATTTTTTAACTTTTCAAAATGAAAGAGATAAATACACTAATGCATTAATTAGAAACACCATACGGTGTGAAGTAAATCAGTTTTTACACATCCTCGAAAGTTTGCGATTCATCCTACAAAATTAATATTTAAATTTATTTTAAGCGTAAATAATAGATTTAGAAATTTTAAGGAGGCTCATCCTACTGTACAGTTATAATTTTTGGAGTGAGAACTGAGACCATGCTTAGAAACGTACCAATTAAGAACTAAAACGACCCTTAGTAACATACCAAGTGAGAACTGAGATCACCCTTAGTAACGTACCATGTGAGAACTGAGAACATTCTTAGTAGCATACCAGGTGAGAACTGAAACTATCTTTAGTAGCATACCAAGTGAGAACTGAGATCATCCTTAGTAACGTACCAGGTGAGAACTTATAGGGAATGAGATTTGAAACTCGTAGTGAGTGAGAACTGAGACTTATGGGGAATGATAAAAAATAAAAAACTTACGTACTGGTTTTATTTATAGATTTTTGTTCATTTTTACCACAAATTTAATTTTCATTGAAAAGTTCTCAAGGTATGTTTTCTTAATGCAGAACGAACTTAAAAATATCTAATGGTGTTTATTTTTTAGTTGGGGGGGAAGAAATAAATTATCGTTGCATAGAAGAAAACATTACTGAAAACTGAAAAGAATATCGTTGTATATATTCGGTTATTTTAATAGTTTATTTGTATAATATTGTGGTGGACACAAGTGTTACGTTTGATATTTTGTTATTTCAGACTCTCGTCAGAGTTCGAATGTTACAGTTGCTGTAAAGGTTTGTGGAGGTATGTCTTGCTCCATCGCTAAGCAGACGGTCCCCATTAGTCCTTCTGCCATTTCAGGTGAAGAATGTATAGACAAATTGTCAGGACAAGCTGCTACATTGTTAAATGAAGGTAGTGGTTTTAGAATTATAAGAATTGTGTTCTTTTTTATTGAAATTTTGTAATATATTTAAATATTTATATACTTTTTGGAGAATAAACACGATATTTCTTCGGCTTCTTTAAAAGTACAATAATCTAAGGATGTTTTATACACTTTAGTACGGATTTCCTATTGGTATTATTCTGGTATATAGTGGTATCATTCCGATATATATTGGTATTATTCTGGTATATAATACAAATATATATACCAGAATGATACCACTATACACCAGAATAATACCACTATATACCACTATGATACCATTATATATATAGTGGTATCATTTTGGTATATATTGGTATTATTCTAGTATATATTGGTATTATTCTGGTATATAGTGGTATCATTCCGATATATATTGGTATTATTCTGGTATATAATACAAATATATATACCAGAATGATACCACTATACACCAGAATAATACCACTATATACCACTATGATACCATTATATATATAGTGGTATCATTTTGGTATATATTGGTATTATTCTAGTATATATTGGTATTATTCTGGTAT